CACTCTTTCATCAAGTGGATTAACTGACACTTTTAGGCAACTGTTTAGTTTCCAGCAGATCCAATAGAGTGATCCTGGGTTTCATAAAATCAAAACAGACTCATTTCACTTTACCTCCAAGAAACTGAGTCAAATTTCCTCTTGGCTGCAAACGTAAATGATCTCATAAGCACACTTACGTTTCACAACTCCATTTACTGTATGGTCTGAAAAGACAAATGCAACCTCACTGGTGCCACCAAATGTAATAAAATTAAACTCACCTGGACTGAGACTGAAGGTACTGGTACATAGTTGATCTAGAAACAGCAGCTGACAGGTATTTACGGTCTCCCAGAAGGAAGTGAAGTGCTGCCTGACTGCATCACAGTACAAAATAAATTGGAGCTGCCTGTTAATGATCAACCACACCTCCAATATCAACTGGTCCTCCTGCTTAAAGGGAGCAGTAATGCAGTCCAAGTAGTAATGCAGTGCGTTGGACACCACATTTAGCAATAGATCATAGTCTGTTTTAGTGTAAACATGTTCATTTTGTTACATATAAAATGACATTTTTCTCCTTCCAGTCAGGTCAGAGGCGAACTATTTGGCTCACATGACTTGACATGGGATCAAGGCCAGAAAAAAATCCTCCCACACTGTGTTTAAGTAGGTTAGGTCTGACTTTGTCAATCATTCACCTAAAATTTACTCTGCCAACAGCTCTGTTTCTCATGAAATAATTCTTCCTTCCCCATAAACTATTAGGCTGTGAAATGCTGACATTAGCACTGTACTACACTATGGGCTGTCGAGAGGCACCTCAACAAGAGGTCAACCCAGCAAGAAAAAGGAGGCCCCTTAAAAATCCATGCTTTACTGTGAAAGAAATGTTATTCTCATTCTGCATCATTCTTAGAAAATTAATGGAAAGTCAAAGTGTTAGCCAGATGACTGAAAATACAGCAGCAGAGGAGTTGATGCTTTGGTATTTGTTTTATTTAAGCAAATATAAATGCGAGTCATTTTAAAAACTCAGTTGCCACCCAACTGACAATTCGCATGGTTAACCTGACACGTTTTACACCGGATGCCCCTCCAGACAATGTCTAATTTTAGAGTCGCCAATCAACCTAAGCTGCATGTCTTTGGACTGTGGGAGGAATAGTTCACCATGATCACTATTGCTGAAATATTTACACAGACCCTTCACCTCAGATAAAAGCTGAAGAGAGCGAGTCATTGTAGTTCAGGTCATCTAAAAATAGCAACCATTAATCTGTGAGGGTCAGATTATCCAAGATCAGGAGATAAAACAGAGGTGTTCACCTACTGTCCACTCTCAGGTCATACACACACTGTATTTAAGCGTGTGTAACAATTTACTTGTGGTAAATGTATCCAAATACAAATTATATATATATGAGCATGACACATCTCATCTTCATTTGTTAGAAATTTTCCTTATTGTGAATCAAGAGAGCAGGTGACACATTTGAGATTTTTTTTATCTTAATATGAATTGGAACTGGGAGCACATGTGGTGGCAATTTCCACAACACACACGGTAGCCTCTGAGTTTGCACTGTCACGTAAAATATGGCCTATAAATGGATAACATGAGATGACTTAATGATGTGATGAGAAATGATTTACCCTCAGAGAAAGGCTGGTATACTGCCATGGTTTTAATGGCTGTCTGGGAGCAGTGTTCATTTACTTTCTGGTTATTAATGCCTATAAAATAAGGCTAAAAGGGATTAGCATTAACAATTGTTTTTTCTCCAGCTGTTGGGCACTCCAAGTGACTCCTGCAAAACTGTCTGTGCACGATTGTCTTTCTGTTAGCTCTAGGGTCAGATAATGTCCCAATGTGTCAGGTTGTCAAACATGAAACAAATTGCAATTTAAAATGCTCTCTACACTCCTCTGATCTACATTTGCTCACCATCCAGAGATTGGAGGAGACAGTGCATTTGCTGTTTGAGCACCACAGTGCTCAAACCTTTTCCAGAGGTTCTCAGGTCAGCAATCTCTGTCTTCATTTAAAACAGAACTGAAAACATACTTATACAGAAGAAACTAGACTTGTGTTTACATGTGTGTACTCATGTGCTTATGTAGACTACATTTGCATATCTGCATTTACTTTTGGTTGTGTATGTACTGTAGATGTGCACATCATGTATAGGTTATAGGCGTATATGTTGTTTTCGTGATTCTGTAGGCCTACTGGGTGCAAGTTTGCACATTCTGTGCATATGTTTATTTTAAGGTCTAGCCTATCATTTTTGTTTTTTTATATTGTGAACCACCCTGTAACTGTGTTTGGAAATGTGCAATAATAATAATAATACATTATTATTATTATTGTTATTATTATTATTATTATTGTGGTGGCTGAGGTCAGATGTGAACTAAATTAATTCAAGCAAACCATCCCAATTCCAATGATTATTTATTACAATAATTCTGAACAGTTCAACAATTTGGAAGGCAGTTCAACAGTCTGAAAGATAGGGAACACAATCAACATCTCTGCAAAAAAATAAAAGTATTAGATAAGAAGAGTCAGTCAGCCATTTTTGGTCAAGTCAGTTGAGTCAGGTCGGTCCTGTCTCCCCTCTCAGCCCAGCTCCTCACTTTCCCCTGTTCCATCTACTGTATTTTCTGTCTCCCTTCTCTCTGATTCACTAGTTTTTTATGCCTCTCATAATGTTCACAGTTCTTTCTGGCTCTTACATCATTTCTCATACCCAATGCTTAAGCTTCCCATTTAAGGGAAACTGCTCTCTAGATGTTTAATCACAAGATGAACCCATAAACTAAACAAGGACACAAACCAGAATGTTCCTGCTTGAGCAAGCTACCGGTACATAGCTCCCATGGTCTCAATGCACAAACGTCTCCAAACATTTCAGAGAAACAGATCTTGTAGGATTATGTAAATGCTTAACTCACCCTTACATAACTATCAGTTATTACCTACTGCAGATAGTATCCATATGTAATCTACTATATTCTATTACATATTACATTTTAACTTGTAACCTGTTTAATTTTAACTACTACATTATTATTATTATTAGTGTTTTGGCATTTTAGACTGCTTTACACTTGTACTCCATTACTTTATACTCCACTACATTTTTGACTATAGTGACTGCTATAGTTAGGCTGAACTGTACAGATTAAACCATGACATGTTTATAAAACATGATACTTTATTACAGATTAAACTATTCAACAGTCTGTAAAATAACACTGGCTACAACTTTAAAATGCTGCTCAGGCAGTAATACATCTTTAATAATATATTCATTCTAAATTAAATTAACTTAAAACAATCCTGCAGTTGACTGCTGACGGTAGAATGTCTTTCTTTCATTGTATTCAATCATTCCGTAGTAAGATAAAGATTCTACGATAACCCTAACCCATCGATAATGATGAGACACAATATATTTGATTTTTGCCAGAATATGGAGGCGTACACAAATCGCAGATCATGGTCACTGATTGGCTATAGCGGGATTTAAAACAGCCATCAATTATCTATGATCTCGCTACGGATTGGGTCTAGCTCTAACTTCCTGACGTCACCTTATCCCGAGCCTAAGGCAAATAAACATCGAAGAAGTAAGAAGCTGTACTATTCACGTACATGTTACGTCGTACCTATGGCGGAATGGCCGTCATTCGTCTCCAACCGGAGAATTTACCGTTGAGAGCTACCTCTTGGCAGCAGGTGAGGTTAAATGAAGAGTAAAGAAGCGGAAGGGCTTTGCTGACAGGTGGTGAAGATATTTTATTTTCTGGCTAAAACAGAAGAAATGGACGACAACAAAACGGTGCTGGTTGAGAGCCTTATTATATGGGTGGGTATTTTTGAACGTCTTGCATGATATAAAACACCATAGAAGCGATTTTACTACCTGATTGCAGGTGGCGTCGACGAAAATACGTCCAACTAGCAGCTGAGAGAAAAATGAGGCGAATATAAGCCAGGTCAAATGGTCCTCTAACATCAGGTGTTGTAAGTTGATTAGTGCAGAGATTAGTTTCGATTGCAGTTGTTACGGATTTCACGCTGACAGTATACTAAATGTTACTTAGCTAGGTGAGGAGGTGGGAGCTTCTTCTAACATACTGCAGACTAATGGATATACAGTTAGCACGTCCTGTGACTTAGGAGGTACCTAGACCACAATACCCCCCCAGAGTAGTTGATCTTCGATGGATTTACAGTGCTATTCTAATTAACCAGGAGATACTGTATTTGTGCATTGTCGCTCTTTGGATATTGTGTTAACGTTATGTAACCGATTGAATGTTGCTAACACCGGCAGCAGTTTAAATGCCTTCATTTACCTTAGAGATAACTTAGCAAGCTAGCGTCGCTGCACCTGTTCCTCATGGATGTGAATCCATGTTTGTTTTTGTGGGTTAACTTGTTAATTTGAGCCTGTCAGGTGCGACTGTATCCAATCCACATCAGATATTTGTTTATTGCGTAACAATAAGTAAGCGCGTAGACCAGCTTTTTCCACCAGGAACTAAAAAAAAAACCTGTTTCTGTTTGTTTATTTATTAAAAGTTTCACCTGCAACTAGATATCATTGTGCCGATTAGGGAAAAAGTTCCCATTCAAACATCAGGATATGTTCAGGACACAGTTCTTGCTTGAGGAAATGGATGTTTGCCTAAGAGAGTTCACTTTACAGCTTGGCTGCTACCTTAGTTTACATCTTTGTTTGAGCAGGAGAGCATTTGTCTTTGCCTTGCCTTTGCAAGTAAAATTTGCATTCCGCATCATCTTTCTGTCCACCTATCAGTCCATCCTTGTCTCCTGTTTTCTTCCCTTCTATAGTTCAGATGCAGGTGCACTAGCTCAGCATATGTGCAGTGCTGTGGGTGAAACCCCTCAGAGATAGTATGGTTAATGCTACTGAATGTCATCATCTGCCTAACAGTGTTTTATTCCCTGTACTCTTCTTATATTGTTGACCAGTCCTTGTGATGATGCCATGTTTTCTGCCTCTAAGCTGCAGACCTTTAACACCGCTGCCCCCTGCAGAACAGTGGAGGAGCTGACCACGGGAGTGGCAATATCACAGGCACTGCATCAGATGTGAGAAAATACACATACAGGCACATGCATATACACACGATGTAGTCCAGCCCTGCCCCATTAGCCATGATATCTGGCTGAATTATTTCTTTACAGTCGGTCCAATAATCTGCATCACATGTGGCTGCCTGGTACAAAAGTTGAATCAGAGAAGCACAATTTTTTGAAATATTTTTTTAATCTGTTTAGTTTGATAGGTTTGCCAAGAAAAGCTAAACATACTAAATGCTAAAATAATAATATAGTGTAATATAATAGATTTTGTTTGTCACTCAGTCACAGTTAAATGTTCGAATTAATTTTCATTAGTCCTATTTGCACATCAAAACATTCAGATACTGTACAAAAACTGCTGGATGATGCATTTCTGGGTCAATTTCCTATGATACTAAAACATTTTACAGAAATGCAGACATTTGGTAGCAGACACTCAAAATCAATAAACAGTCACTTCTTTTCGGATTCACAAACTTCACCAGTGATGATTCATGCAGGGAGAAATCCACTGTACAGGAAAGATTTGCCAGTTGCCCATCAGACAGCAGCCTTCCTTGACAGTCTAAAAATCAGCACAGAAAGGCGTGTTGTGTTTTGACTGAGCAATTAGACTCACTTCTCTCTATGGAGGATCTGGCCCTTTCTTGCTTATGTTATCACTATTAGGCTTTCCATCTACATGTACAACCTGTAGCTGAATGATAGAACACTTACAGGGGGGTGGCTGTGGCTCAGGAGGTAGAGCAGGTTGTCTCCTAACTGGAAGATTAGCGGTTTGATTCCTAGTGCGTGAATGGCCAAATAGTGTGAAAGTGCTTTGAGTGCTGCAATACATAGAAAAACACTATACAAGTATAAGACCATTTATGTTATCCAGGGATTATGAGATGGAGGAAGTGAACAGCATAGTGTAAGTGAGAAGGGATCGAGATCTAAAATATATTTAATGTGGATAATCAATGATGTGATACTTGAGGAGTCAGAGTAAATTCATTTTTGTTGACTTTCCTCTCTGTTTATCTTGTGTGTGTGTGTGTGTGTTTTGCAGAGACCCAGCATGGTTCAGTGATGGATGGCTTGGTCGTATCAAAACAGATGTTGAGGGCAACTGGAGATTGAAGGTACAACGTGCTGCCATCTACCCCATCAAAGTGTCCTCTCTGACTTTTTTCTCTATATTTTGAAAAACACCCCTGTGTGCTAAATCCTCTGTTTGATTCAGTCCTGCCCAATTGTCCTTGACACTGACCTCCTGTCTGCTCTAGACAAGCTGCTTCTGGCTTAGCCTGCACTCTGACCCTACGATTTGAGTCTTCCGGTGGAATGTGTTCATGCATGTTTGTCCACATAAGTCAGCAGGGGTGATTGCATGCCATTCCCTTTCTTCCTGTTTGGCTGTGACTGTTTCCATGCTACTG